GGCTGAAAGGGCGAGCATGTTTGGTGGGAGTGCGGATTCGAACCCGCGACCCTCAGATTGTGAGTCGAGCGCCTTATCCACCTGGCCATGCCGGGCCCTTTTTAAGGCATAGTTACAAGATGTCACGTGTACGTACGTTGTGTGTTCATATGGTCAGGGTTTATACTGAAATCTGGTTAAATATACACTTATATTAGTACGATTTACAGTGAAATTTGGATATCTACTCAGATGGTTACGATTTATAGTGAAATCCGTAGCTCCAGCTACCTCGAAGTAGGTGATGTTACATCTCATACAAAGTGGATACAAACTCACGAACTAACCCAAGCAAGAAGCCTGATCATTACGTATTCACTAAAAACCTCGAATAGATACTTAAAATATTCTCGTATTAATCACACTTTTGATCCAGCGCTGGTATCAATACAATACTTAACGACAGCACTGAGTATCGTATCGTTGAAATATCGATACTTCCTTAAAAAATAAACAAACAAACAAGAACACAAAACCTTACGTATTTTTCCCCAACATTTTTAGTAATGCAGATGATGCATGCTTAGCATATTAAAGAAGTAGCAAACAATGACAAATTAATACTGGAAAAATAGAATATTTTAACTGTGCTCTAAAATCGAATGACTAGCATTAGAACATGGTTAAGTCTCAACGGTTGCTGAGATAAGCTGGTTATTACAGCAACTAAGAGCCAGGGTGACAGCAGACATAAAACACATGAAAGAGACACTAGATCACATGTAGGGCGTAAACCGAAATGTTCAATGTTTTGTTCTGGAGCTTAAGCAGGTTTTAACTATGAGATAAAATTAGTTTCTTAGCTGAGAAAAAACATAGCCAATATGTATTAAGATTATTGATTTGTGATTCAATGAGATCGATCTCTGTTAAAGTTGGAAATAAAATACCGAATGTCCACCGCTAACTGAGGTTCGAATCAGTTGAGAAAAATCTGATTTTTCTTATCAGTTTAATGAAATTATTCAAATCAGTATTGTTTGGGTAATTAATTAATCTTATAAAACGTATTGGGAAACGTTTTAATTTATGAGATTTCTTAATGTCGTCTTATTTATTCCGTTTTAACGAGTTAGATTTTTGTTGTTTGTGTTCCCTTGATTATCACGGCGTTCTCTATTTCTATTTCATTTCTTTTATTATACTTATCTCTCATAACTCTAGACTTAGAAGGTGTTATAAAAACAAGCTTAAGTGATGAAATTACAGTTACACATCGGAACTAAGTAATTAAGGTTTACATTTCATTTAGATCTTTACAAATTTATAATTGTCTGTACAAACTTTAAAATTAATTCGTAAAGAGAAAACGAAGGGCTTGTAAGTGATGAGATATAATACGGACGTAAACATGAAATGATGGCGTGAAAAAATGTTTCTAGAAATGTTTTCAACACAGCATGTTGCACACACACACATACACAATAAGAAATATGTGTATATGTTTTAAAACTGATGCGAGAATCACCAGTCACTCCAATAATGTTCTATCTATACGATGTTTGGTTCAAAAGTAATGAAATACAAGATACTGCCTACAAGGACTTGTGTTCTACAGTAGAAGGGCTGGACCTGTAGCAATAAAACTCTTAGCACACAGCACCAACGAGGATAAGATGCAAAACGCTTCGCCAGCTGAATTTGTGAAATATTGATTTACCTGTTCAACTCTAGTACAAATCACAGATAGTTGAAAAGTTTTTTTTTTACAGCTTGTAGAACAATAATTATCAATTACGCGAAGACCGATTTTTCTGTAATATTAACATTATTTAAACTACATCTTTCTTTATAGATACATATACATGTGTTTATGCTTGTGTATATATACAATACATCTATATATATAAAGACGAAATGTGTGTTTGTTTGCACCCTAACTCCTCCCAGTCTATTGGGCCAATCTCAAAACACTATGAACTATAGGGAATGTCTTAAGTGGGTCAAAATTGAACTTAACCCTATTTCTGTTTGTAAACCCTGTTCGTTAATTACTCCCAACCTATTGAGTCAATCTCAAGCAATCTTGTCAGGTTGACGCTTTAGACAATGTTGAATATTTTTAAAGGGATTCACGGTCAGAGTATAAAAGTTGCCGGATTGTTTCTCAAACAACCATGCTTTTCTCATGGTCAATCAGATGCAGGGTGTTCAATGGTGGGATCACCTCAAAATATTTATTTGTTGGGACATGGAAAGCAAACTGCAAATATTGTTTATGAAAAAGCTTTGTTATAATTTTGCCCCCAGTGGCACAGCGGTATGTATGAGGACATACAACGCTAGAAATCGGGTTTCGATACCCGTGGTGTGCAGAGCACAGATAGCCCATTGTGTAGCTTTGTGCTTAACATCCAACAAGCAAGCAATGTTATAATTTTAAAACTTTGAGATAAAGTTTCTGTTCAAGTTATTACTTTGAAATATATGATTGCTGTTAAACTTACATTATTTTAATTAAGTTTAAACATTCCCCGTCAGTTGACAGGTATTTAAGCTGGTGCATATATACAAACACTAATCAGTAAATCTAAATCTTTAATAACTCTGCACTGCATGCAGTTATCTGGTTGCGAATTTTTACAGTGAATTCATGGGGATTTTCGTGACAACAACACAATAAGAACAGAAGATAATTAAATGAACTAGCGAAAAAGTTGTTCGCTTTGTTAAACTTGCGACTACAATTTTCTTGAAGTACAATTTATGTTTTTCTTATATATGTATTTTGCACAAAGAATAGCTGTAAAATATGAAAGTGCTTTTCTATAGTCTCAGTAATGGCCCCGTAGAACCTACGTAATTTGTTTTATTCATGTTTAACCACTTTTATAGGAGGCTTAAAGATGTTTCCTAGTGAATAAATGTTGAGTTTTTTTTGTATCTCACATGATGCGTCTATTTAAATCAGCCTCACATAAATGGACGATTGAATGGACGACACCAGAGGTGTTCCTTTTTTTAAGGCAATATTTTACACATAGCCAGAATTTCAGGCAAGTATTCGATTTAGTTATACCTTAAAGGCTGTTTGAAGCGAAGTTTTATACAACACGTAGGCTAAGCAAAGAAAGAACAGTCTTTTTTTTATGTAGCTTTCAAAACATCTTGTTATGTAGTTTCAGACTGCTGACGGCTAATTACGCCTCATTCCTCTTTCGTTCATAGGTCATTAAAGACAGGTTAGATGCACTGTAATAAAGTTGATCACCTTGAGGCTATGCATTCCAGTCACACCGTTATTTTATTAGTATCATTGAGTAAAGACTTTCGTAGCATGTAAAAAACTTCTTTCAGAGCTTGGCCAGTTGCAGTTTAATTTGTGTGATATTGAAAGATCATCTTTTGAAACTGACTATACTTAAAAGTAATTTTGAAACGTAGAAAGTAACGATTAAGTAAAAACTTTTTTTTTTTCTGTGACAAGTACACCTATAACGGGGAGACTTCTTAATATTGTATTGTAATTAGTTACATGTCAGATACCAATAACAAAACTTTTCTCAGCATTTCCTGGTATTTATGTGAAGTACTTCTCGGGATGATTATTTTAGTAAGCTCGAAGTGCGTGGCATTAGTTTAACTTCTTAACGCATTTTCAATAGACTTGGATTTTAGATAGATAAAAAAACAAGACTCATATCACTTGTTCAAATTATCAGCTTGCTTTCGAAGAAAGAATATACTTGAGGCTCAGAAGAATTAGTAAGATTCTGCATCTACCAAGTGGTGATTTATTCATAAGGTGTTACAATTAAGTGATGCATCTCTCATGTGGTGTTTAATCCATTCAGTGTTACAACTAAGTGAATCATCTCACAGGTGGTGTTTAATCCATTTAGTATTACAACTAAGTGATGCATCCCACAGGTGGTGTTTAATCCATTTAGTATTACAAGTAAGTGATGCATCTCACAGGTGGTGTTTAATCCATTTAGTATTACAACTAAGTGAATCATCTCACAGGTGGTGTTTAATCCATTCAGTATTACAAGTAAGTGATCATCTCACAGGTAGTGTTTAATCCATTTAGTATTACAAGTAAGTGATGCATCTCTCAGGTGGTGCTTAATCCATTTAGTATTACAGCTAAGTGAATCATCTCACAAGTGGTGTTTAATCCATTTAGTGTTACAACTAAGTGATGCATCTCTCAGATGGTGTTTAATCCATTTAGTATTACAACTAAGTGAATCATCTCACAAGTGGTGTTTAATCCATTTAGTGTTACAACTAAGTGATGCATCTCTCAGATGGTGTTTAATCCATTCAGCGTTACAACTTAGTGAATCATCTTACAGGTGGTGTTTAATCCATTCAGCTTTATAACTAAATGCTGCAACTCTCAAGTGGTGTTTAATTTATTCTGTTACAATTAATTATTCTGCTACCAGGAAATCACACACACTTAAAATTTCGATTATGTTGAATATAATCATAACAAGTAATCCCAACGTTTTATCAAACTACACGACAAGTGTACGTACGTTCATTCTACCATCAAGTTCATTTCCTCCTTCCTTGTAATGCCACATGGAACCTACAAATCAAGACACTATACAATGTATTATTCTACTTTAGATTATCTGGTGTCATAAAGTCACATTCGAACTTATTCTATCTTTCATTCCACTTCAGGTCATTAGATGTCCGGAGATCACGTGAAATTTGTTTTTTCAGACAGTACAATTACATCTTACTTACTCTTTCATTTCATTTTAGGTCACCTTATGTCAAAAGGTCACGCGGGATTGTGGTCACGGTGTATACAGCTCTATGACGTCAGAACGAAGACTAACGAGACTCGAGCATTAGCCGACAAGTGTATGTCGAACTTCGACAAGGAGGGAGTAAGACCTTATAGTTGTAAGTTATCCGAAATGTAAAGAGGGAGAAAAGGCTTGTGATTGTTAGCTAGACATATTGTAAGAAGAAGTGTCTTGTTTTAAAGCAAACACAGAAGGTCTTATGATTGTAAGCTAGTCGTAATAAATGAAAGAGGGAGAGAGAGACCTTATAATTGTAAATAAGTCGTACTGTAAGAAGGTGGGGGCAAGGCGTTGGAATTGTAAACTGACCGTAATAAATGAAGGAGGGAGTAAGGCCTTATAGTTCTAAGTTAGCTGTAATATAGGTAGGAGATAATGTTATATGATGGTCAAATGCTACAATATATAAGCTATGGCTATTTACTCTACATTGTTTGCTTACAAAGATTTATGCAGATATCTCTAATTAATGTAATGTTTTTCAAAGTTATGGTGGTAAAAACACCTACTATTTCAGACATTTTGCTTATTATTTTATCTTGTGCATGCCCTGTTATTCATATTTTCCTGCGACGTTTATATTATAGATCTCTCAGAAAATAAGCCGTTTTATACCTTTTGATATCAGGCAGTTTTATCTGCTTTGAATGCTAATTTTCTTTTTACAATTCCCGCACAGTTTCAATATTGGATGTTATTATGGTCTTACCCCGATATAATTATGGGTAGTGGATGAATGTCATTTGATGGACATCGAACTACAATTGAGTGTCTTATAATTCTTTATTATTTTAGTAATATTTCGGTAATATTAGGTCGTCAAGAAATTAATGTCGCCTTTTTTAGATAAAAAAACCCGAACAACTAATATATCAAAACAAAACATTTATTAAATGAAATAGTCTCAATTTTTATCGATGATGCTTTTCCTTCTTACAATCAGGTTGTTAGTGCCCTGATTAAAGAAATC